ACGCGGAAGAGCACCCTCACGAGTAGGCTCACTCTGGAACTTAAACAGGTACCGTTAAGGCCAGAAACAGTCGCGCAATAATCATATTTTCTTCTTCCCACCTTCTCAAATCTATCCATTTTTACAACCAAAACACGATCGTAAAGTTTCTGTCCGTTGAACATTGAAATGGCTTGCACTGCTTCAATGGGATGTGAGTATTGGAGAATACAGACACCCTGTAATTGTTACTAAGAGCGAATGAAATCCACCAATACTGTGTTCATTATTTGTGGCAGCGTCCAGGAATGGATAGTATGGGGAAGGATAGTAGCAGAGTGTTGGTAGAGTATGTAGATGTAGGAGGGAACAGACAGCTGGATTAGGCGACGTGAAACTGCGGCGTGTGCAACTGCACCTACTCCTACACAACACCGCACATTAAATTGCACAATTCTGTGCTTTAGCAGCTGTAGAGTGCGTACGCAGACGCCACAATTTCACGACGCCTAATTCAGCTGTCTGCTCCCTCTTAGTTCCTTATGCTTTACCAGCCGTCTCGTACACTCCCACTTCGCCAAACACCACTCCTGGACCCTCATGTTCGCTGGATCGATATTTACGCATTTTCAGTCGCTAGCGCTCACGTTGCTGCCGCAAAGCATGAGCACAGCCTAACTCACTCACATAAAAATATCTTAGGCTATCTAACCTTGCTTTTTCCTTCCTTGTCCATGTGAAGATCCATCCAAACAATGTTACCCGCGAGGCCAAATATGTCATACATCCGTGCAGTTCCGACATTGAACGACAGCTGAACACAGCTATTCTCCACTCACATAACCCCATTATACAACTTTTCTGAAACCTACGTTTGCAACAAAAACGCGGTCACATAGCGGTGGCTCTATGTTGTGCTGGCGGAGGAATTCCGGGCTCAAACCGAAAAGATCATAGCTACCCGTACGGGTAGGACGCTCGTCACGTGCACCGCGAGCGAGTGCAGTACCTCCACATTTTGCCAAATAATCCACTCCTGTTTCTTCTTGTATCTTACGTAAAAACGCAACGGGATCCTGAAATCAATGTAATGAAATTAAGTCAGAGAAGTCGCTTGGGCTTCTGCCGACGACGAGGACTTGTCTAGATGCAACAGCCGTGACGTCGTTGTCATTAAATGATCACATCAGACATAATCATAACTCCAAGCTTCTGGATGAGACTTTTACTATGGTACGGAGGAGTGTCGCTTTTGTGAAGCGATTTCAATTTCAAATATGTCAACTCTTAATGCCATTCAAGGCGATCCCTCTGCTATCTTCGAAGCATCGAAGGGACAAAATCCCAGAGACGTTGTTGAATTGTTATATTTGTTGTGAATCGTAAGTACTAGGTCTAAGTAGTCAATTTGCCTGAGTTGTTTAGCTTACGTTCAGCACCACAGTGCTCGCTTAAAAAATCTACACAGCAGTGCTGAGTTTTGGGCAAAAGCCAGGCCCTATGAAAGACTCGAACCCGCACTCTCCCGCTTTACCGAGCAGTGCCTTTATTACGCTTATAATGGCGCACTTGTAACAGCATAGATTGCAAGTTAGTCCCACTAGAGTCCTTTACCCCTCAATTCTGCATTCTTGCGATAAATTCCTCTATTCGTTTTGTCTAATTATTTGGTTTGTCTGGTATTCATTCCCCGCAGTTCGGATGAAGAAGGTCGCTTCCCCAGAAAAATGGCGGCTGAGTGTCATAGCTATTCGACACCGACTGTAACATATGGAGATCGGAGCGGCTCCCAACACGCGAGAGGTCGCAGTTCGACTTCTACCATCGGTTCCCTGATCCGTGCATCCGGTGAACCCATATTTAAGTAAGGATTCGGGGACATCTGCGCTTGCTGGGTCGCCTCTCGAGTTTCAGTCCCGTATGAATCAGCAACTCATCAGTTCGCAGAGCTATACCCTGTTATTGATAGGAGTTATACATCAAAAATAGGAGAATAGAGCGGATTGAACCGCTAACGCGAGTCAAGGTTGTAGTCCAGACTTCACAGGAGCGTAACCATATTATTGAACGGCCAGTCATTAAAACAACACAGGTCTAGGGTTCTGACCTATATAACTTGAAAACATGGGTTCACTTTGGGGAAAAAACTTGAGAAGAGACGCAAAAAATGGCGCCTACCGCCACCTAGTACTGCTCCAACAAAGTGAACTGGAGCTCAAACAGGTCTTTCTCTATATATTCCGTGAACATCGCCTCACAATCTGAGCCCTCGAACTTCTTTGGGAATTTCCGCTGCGAGAAGCAAACTTTGTCGTGCATTTAAAATTTTGACCTTTCTGGGAATTCATTGGTACGGTCGACAGGGCTTAATACGCAGTTGTCTTGGAGATCTCCTCCGTATCCGTAATAAAAGCTATCGACCTCAAACACCTGAACAACGTTCCCTCATCGGAAATTTCTGTTTCAGCCAAAATCTAGACCACGGAAAGTATCGGAGATACGTTCCTATGACCAGATGCAAAGGATTACATTCCCTGGATCGAAGCCCTCACTAGACAAGGGGTAAAAGTACGATGATACAACGACGTTTCAAGTGTACTCAGCTCACTGTGTCTTCAGGTCTAGAAGGTACAAATAGACCAAGATCAAAAATCGAGAAGAACATACGCGGATTGGTTTCGTAATAATTTTTCGCTTTCGAATCTCGAAGCCGTCGAGATTCTTAATGCAGTTTGATGCACCTTCCTTTGTCTTGAACTCGACGATAGCATTCCCCTTCGGATGTCCGTTGCGATCTTCCAACAGCTCGACAAAAACGACCTAAACTTAATTTGACACGACAAGCAAACCGGTAGCAAAACTTGGAACCTTGCCAGGGGTGCGGACCATGGGAAGTTGGATGAGGAGCAAAGCCGAGGGCCCGATTCTTGAACAATTATCTCTTACGAAGTAAATGGAATTAATGACAACAGGAAATCTATGATGAAAACACCATAACTTTGTGTGATCGAACAAAGTGTTTCCTCGATAATGGAAGGGTGGGCCAAAAAACGCCAAGAAAACTTATCACGTAAAGGATTTGTTGTTCGGTCAATCGACGAGCTGAGGAGAATTCGGCAATTTCACAGGTCCGCATGAAATGGGTAGCAGGAAACATATCGAACCTCTCCACCGTGCTCACGCAGAAGATCCTTCAGCTCCACCCAGCGGACTTCATAGGCAAGATTAGTGATAAACACCATACGTTCGCTCATGCTCGCGGCACCTCCACTGCGTCTGTCACCATCACGTCCACCTAAACGTTGAACAAGCGATCTTTTAAAACAACATAACTCGCACCACCAATTGGAATTAAACGATCGCATCCGTGAACTTTTCTGAACCCTTCAAATGAACTCCACAGGGAACGCATTGTACCTCATGTTAACGACGACTCTGCAGAACAGTGTACGTACAGACGCACACTATCACCTTGCTATATGTTGAACTAACGTGCGCCGTTGGAAATCAAGAACTGTGCCACCTCTGGGTAAGGTTCCTAGGTTCACGCTCGTGGAAGTTATAAAACAATATTCATTCAAGAAAAACCGTAGATTACTTGAGGGGCGGGCATTTTAGTGCAGCAGGACAGGTCTGCCGAGGTAGAACCATAGCACTGTCGCCATCTGTAAATACGCAACAATGATACTAGAGGCTTGTGATAATTTGACGCGTCTTATGTCTCCGCCCTACGGTCTACGCACGCCACAAACGCCATAAGATCAACCACACCCCTGTGTATAGCCGCACGACATTCTGTACGGCCTGAATGTAGCATGTGCATAGAATACAGAATGCTGGTAGGAGACAAAGAAGACCAAGGCGCAGCAACCTTTAAGCTTCACTATCGCGCACTTTCGAATGACGTAGTGCCGCATGTCCACCGCTGCTGACCTGCCACCATGCTGTCGCCAAGAATCCACCTCTCAATTAATCGAGTCGGGTGTCTTTTACTCGCGTACGAACACGGAATACATAAAACTAGGAACTGATCGCCTCAACGCCAAATGCTCCTATTCCGATTGAAAGGTAGGTAGTGACGGTTGTGTAAAGGCGCAAGAAGACTAAAGAGACAGGCACCAGGATGCGCACACAACACACAGGTTTTCCCCTAGCACGATCGATGATCCAAACGCCCTCGCAGAAAAAGGGAGCAAGGGAGCTGAAGAAACACGAGCTGCAACCACGACGTTTCCAGGAATCCTTCTCTCCCGGATGAATCAGCAATGAACATCGTCGCGAACGATGGCCGTCCACTTTTCGTCACTGCTACAGCGATCTTCTGCAAATCCCGATGACATAATCAGAATCTCTACGAGAGGCATACCTGCAATTCTTTTGGGGTCTCCCTTCTGTGGGCTTCGAGAGCGACTTCTTTCACTGCGCCTCTTCCTCACTGATCCGTTTTCTGCACGAGTGCCACGAGACATCTGAAGATGTTGTGTAAACGAAAGTGAAGCTGAACCCTACTAGACACGTCCAGAATCGAATTAAGAGAACGAAGAAAAGATAGACGCATCTGAACCTGCTCCAGCTCACTGGAAGTGCTCACAATCACGGAAAAAACTAAAAGCAAACAAATGGCGACCACCCCGCAGCGAGCGCCCTCAATCAATGGGCGGCCACGACGCGGTCGCCACGCCGACGCTGCGCGTTGCGGTCGGCAATTTAAAGGGCTCCACCGAATGCTTGGCGCTGTAGCGCCATAACTCTCAGTTGAGGTGTCGGAAAAAGAGAGCGAATAATTGCGCAGTGAATCTCGTGGGTTTAGACGTCATGTCAACCTTGCGACGATTCGGCATGCAATGAAATAATCCTGCACAAGTTAACTGCAAAAATTATTACCGTGTGAAGACGTGTGTTTTACCACCGATAATCAAGAATTCAGGAGTCTAAAGGCAGTGTACCCAGTTGCTGAACGCATGCGGCGTTAGCCACACGCTACTTAGCCCTTTCACCGATTTCTTTGGTGACAACCGCCCGCCTCCAGCGATGATGCCCTTTGCCTTCCAGTCAAATATTTTATTGAGAAAATTGTAGAACACGGCCCCTGTCCACCTAGCTCGACAACAGAGTCCTGCAGACCCTCTTTTCTCTCTCACCTTCTCCGTTCCTGAACATCAGTCGTTCACAAATGTAAGGAGTTATCTGGGATATACTGGTGTTGCGAAAAAGGCTAAGAACGGAGGGAGACGGAAAAAGAACTCGGGCATCCTTTCGAGGAAATTCCTATTTTCACTTTCTTCTAGATTAAAGCTGTCGTTTTTATGTAAAGTGCATATCTCGTTATTTGAGGGGGGGGGGGGACAGTACCCACGACTTCTATGTGAGCACGGTGACTGATAGGTTTCATGGCTGGGCTAGCTGACAGCTGTCTGCCTAGCTCATAACCAAGTCCGTGGACACTCCTCCCCCTCCAATGTGAAGGTAACTGTACCACGCGTCTCCCCAGGATCCCCTGCCCATGCATCTACCACTCACCGTGCATGTATTTAGTACATATAGCCGCAGCAGAAGAGGGAAAACAAGGGAAATTTTCTTCTCAAACAGGATCCCCTCCCTCCGTGCGACTAAGTACGACATTTTCCCGCCCCCCCTCTCCCCCTCCTTCGCTAAGAAGTCTGCAGCAACATGCCTGTCCGCGACTTTCACCTATTAATTGTGCTTGCAGGAAATAATATGGGAACACCAGTATTCGCCGCTCGGCCATCACCAAACCTCCTCGGCAGGGTCTGGCTGGGGGAGGCGGCACCATTCTATCTCATCGTCTCTTGTCTATTCTGCATTCTGCTTCCACTCAGAATCATAGAGGTTTACTGATTGGGATGTGGCCTGACGATGACATGCGGGGGAGACGATGTGTGTTCTTAGCCTCCCAGATGGATCTGCTACCGATTCACCGTACCCGCATAGCGCAGGATCAGGTTGGTCTGAGTGGGAGTCGATCTATAACCCTATTTCCACCACTAATGATGTATGCCACGCAATCTTCATCTCTGAGATAAGAAGCAATGCAATTGGCAGCCCTCGCCGCCACTACATCTCGCTTGACCAAAAGTAAACAAAAGCAAATAAAAAAATAAAAAAGAAATACCAACAACAGTGCCATTGAACCGTGGTTACCTGCTCGCCCACCTGTGGTGAGTCTGATCACCAGGCGTTTCAGCGTTCACTGGAGAATGCATGGGACGTAACCAGACTGGCTGGTTCATTAGTTTCAATTTAAGGCACACGATCAGAAATGGACGGACGTGAGCCGTTAGAAACTCTTTATGGCTGAACAAGTGTGGAGCATGCCCAAGGCCACACATGAGTGAACACAAAGGGTAAGCGCTTTTGGAGGCGCATTTTACGACAATTCGAAAAAAATCGAAGCTCTGTAAAAGGAGAGAGTTCGTCGCAGTGGGCAACCTTATACCAGTTTTGTGATAAAAGGTTGCTATGGAACGGCCTTGAAAAACGCAACGCATCGTTGCTAAGATGACCTGAGCGACTCTCCCAAATACTGACTGGTATCTGTCGCCCTAACCTGTGCTGTGTTTGTGTGCTCTCTCGCGGCTTGCCTTGAGTCTCTGCAAACTGATTCCAGCGAATATTCTCCCTTCGCTCACAAATGTCAGAAACAGCCGCAATCAGGGCACATCGCACTCTGGGGATCCCCAGCAAGGTGATATAGGTCGCTTGAATGGGAAGATTTATTAGCTTTTTTCGGTTTTTCCTGTTTCAGGTGCGCTGTCTATCCCCCTCCTACGCTAAACGGCGTTTTTGAGGAAAACTTTGAAATTTAATGAGAGTTCTGGAAAAAAAAGAAGAGAAAACGGGAAAATTCAGCAAGATGGTATCTAGATTGTCGGATGGAGCAGGGCAGGGAGGTCCTGAGGGGGAACTGTCATGGGGTGAGGTCATATTAGCTCACACATGGTGTCTAGTAAGGAGCAACTACCAATATGAAGGTGCAAAGGGTTTTAGACAAAAGAAAAGCAAATTGGTCAAAACATTCTAGTAGAACCCCACCCTCAAAGACGAACCCAGCGATTATCATTCGTGGGTAGTGGAGTTCACAAATGAAAATGTGGGTGGTCAGAAACTCAACAGTGATGAAAAACAACAAAGGGCACAATTACAAGGTTTTTTGAATCCTTATCACGAGTATCACATTTGTCCCGAGCGCTGGCGCCATGCGACGCCATTAAGCACCAATTTAGCGCCCGCACTTTTTTCACAAATATTGATAAAAACGTGCATAATATGTCTTGTATACGAAACGATTATTTGGCGTCTTGTACGAGTATGGCACTCAAGGTCCGACACCGCTTGTTAGGCTTAGCCTAGCGCTTTGCTAAGGCTGTCAATGAGTCTGAGCCTGACACTCTGATAATGACTCACTTCACACCAGATCCGGCCCTAATTGAGCGCAGATGGTCAGAGTGCCAGTTAGCACCAGCGTAGAGAATGCATGTCATATACCACAGCTGCTGAAAAAAATAACATAAAACATGTAACAAGCCGCCGGACGCAACAACGCCTGGACGACCGCCTATGCGATGGTCAGACTTCTTCGTGAAAGCTCTGAACGAATGGTATGAAGTTCATCGTGTCCCTCGAGCAGAGAGAGTTCATTGGGCAACTCTTGCACGTTGCAGGGACGAATGGAGACGTTACTGGCGCCCGCTCGAGGAACTCGATGATCAATCGGGAGCGGGCATTGATACACTGTGCGCTTAACTAGCTCCACTCCACTGGCTCATGAAGCATGCATGTTTTCCTCGAGTTGATCGATGTAACCGCCAGATCACTTTGAGTCCGGGGTCACGAAGGAAGTATCGGTTTTCCGTTCTAGAAACGTTCTGATACCATATACCAAGCGACAGCACGCTTTTGGCCGACTGCGTGAACGATGCATGTCCTAGACCGCAGCGGCGTTGTCGGAGTTGCTCGATGTTGGAGGTCCTCCAGATCAAGAGTGCTGGTCTCCAGGTAACTGTCCATGGGTGACTCGGTACAAAAGTTTCGGCAGGCTGTTTGTTATTCCAGACTTCTCCAATTCGGTTGCCGATTGGAGATGGCTTTCATGTTTGGCGTACTATGAGTGATGGACGGAGCCTGCTTTTTGCCTATCGAGGACATCTGGGTATGCGTTCCCACCCGCGGCCTGGTAACCGTTATCCACGTCTTCTATCTGAGGTGGCGTAAGACTTCAACTGATAATGTGACTCGACCAACAGTATCTTTGTTTTATGGGCCACCCTCCTCCTCCCCTGCATATATATTTTTTTATGCCGGGTCGTAGTTAGCTTGGCGAGAGCTTCTTCACTGATGATCTTCCCCTAGAGCTCCTTCGGGTTCAGCAATTAATCCCGGAGAAAACTTAGGCGGGTGCTGCGGCACGCTCTCGATATTTCACATGTGTTTTGCATCGCACAGATGCTATACATTTGTCTGCGCTGCAGTAGACAGAGCACAACATCGTTTGGGTGAAAATGGTGGTGTCAGTAACGATTCCCCGCACAGAGAACAGGGACGACCCCTGCCCCCCCCCCATTTCCCCAAGTCCCACCACATTTTTCCGCACAATTTCCCGGCATTTTCCCGCAGTCTTTTTACCCAAAGATTTTCCGTCGACCGTGGAGGTAAAGCCAGCGCATGTGAAAACCGAGAAATTCCTAGTTTCGCCAGCTATCTACCTCAACTCATTTTCCGGCAAACGCGGGCCAAATTTCTTTCAGTGGCGGTAGCGGACCCCGCTCCCTATGCCCACCGACCGACGCGAATTCTGATCCTCCCCAGCGTCGCCATGCCGGACCGCCCATGTGTTTTCACACGACGATGCTGTGTCCTGGCAATAGAGATGCATAAAATAGGAAAACTCGCGAATGCACATGGAGCCGCTAGCTAGTAGTTCGAGGGGGAGGGGGGTGGTTTACTAGCTGGCGTCCAAGTATCGCTTGCTTTAATCAAGGTGCAGACCTGATGAAGACTACTTTTCTGCGGGATTACCTCTAGGCGACTCTGGTCGTCTGCGCTTCAAGCCCAAGCCTTTTTTGGGGACGGTTAGCACCTAAAGGTATGTGTAGGACTCGGTAAGTATCATCGACTCCTGGATGGAGCATTACCTCACTTTTGGAGCAGATTGCATACGGAGCGAAACGCAAGGGAATCCTAATTGTATCTCAATGGCAGCTTCGCTAGCGTGCTACATTGAGAATTTCGCGCCCCAGTGCCAATTCAGCTGAATGGGAGGAAACCAAATAATTCCCGCATCTACGACTGTTTCTTGATTTACACTGTTACATAGCAGCGCAGAATTGTTGCCTATTTCTCCCCCTTCCTTCTTACCTACTCCAAATTGAGCTTGCTCCGAAAATTGTACCTTTTGAAATTCAAAACTCATGGAGCTACACTTTTGTTTGAATTTTTATGATCCGTAGGT